CGCCTATCCATGTCCCTTTAGTGGCTCCATAGAATGTGTTATTTGTTTTCCGTGCCTTTCTGCATACGGTTTCACGCTTCGGGCACCCCCCCTCCCCCCCGATGTCATCGTCCATCACGATGTTTCACTGTAGACATCGTCCGATGCCAATTTGGTAGACATCGCCCAACCCTAGTTTCTATCAGCCTTGAACTAAGCACTCACTATTTCTTTATACTTGAGTCCAAGTTCAAAATAAAACTATGAACAGATCCATTGTGAAGTTATGGAGCTGTATGAACCACTGCAAACTGTAAAGTAAACAGGAAGTGTTTGTCCGAACTCAACTGGTTTTGCCAGAGAACTTAAATGGCCTTCAAATTCCGTTGAACTTCGATAATGTGACCAAAAATTGGTATTGTTTTTTCCCCAGCCACTTAGCCTTTGTTACATCATCAGAAAAATTAAGTAGTTTCAAAGTGGAGATTGTAACTACAGTTTAATGCACAATAATGAATTTTTTTTTTCTTAAGAATCTTATGCACTGATAAATGGCAGAAAATTATTACAAATTTTCCTTTCCTCTAGTCCAGTGAAACCCATTTTCACCAGTCTGCTTCTGTTTGCTTCAGTTGCTCTCTCACTACTCTCCAGTCTCCTGCTTCTTCTGCTGCTCTCACTGTGAGGCACACAAACAGGAGGGGAGTGGGCAGGATTTCCATAATCCCTCAGTCAGACACAAGCAGGCCAAAGGCGCAGGCACAAGGCCTCGGTTGGCCTTCAGTCAGCATCTAAAAACATGAAGACCTGAATCAACAGATCTCCTCAACACCAGTCAATCAAGGACATCAGGACATTGTATTTGCGATTTTCACTTTGAGTTCCTTTCCACAAATTGTCTAAAATAGACTCCCTATGCTAAATATGGACAATTAAAGCACAATTCCCCAGTTTTGCCTGTGATTATACATGGGTATGATGTCCGTTGCCGTTTTTATAATCTGGATGTATTGTAAGCGTCTTATGGTGTAAAAGTGGGAGATTGAGGTCTACAGACGTCTGTCTAGTAGTCTGTACACTAAAGAAGGCCGAAATGGCAGTGGGTCGCTGTTAGTGTGGAATGCCTATTACTGTCCCTCCAGACCCGCAGGACCCACCGTGTTTGTTTGCTACTATTCCTTTACTTTTTTTTTGTTTGAGGAATGCTGCAAACACTATTAAATGTTATTTTAAGGTGGTTACATTGATAGGGCCCTATGAAATCCGTTTAAATTTTTCTGGAATCTGTTTTTTTTTTTTTCGTTTTTTTTTTTCTGGACTAAATTAAAGTTTATTAATCAAAAAACATGTTGAATTCATGAAATTTAGGCTACGTCCACACGAAGCCAGAGCTTTCCCTATCCGATCTTTTTTTTTCTCCTCGTCTCAAGAAATATCTGCGTCCACACGAAATCGACACAAAACGATTTAGTATACATGCCAGACCAGCATGTGGCGCTGTAATTCTGCCACAGAGATACACTAAAACGGAGAAGAAGACTTGGATTATGCGCATAAACCTTGCGCGCGGTATACAAACGAACATGGAACAATACATTTATTAATCTGTGTCAGTGTTAGTTAATAAAAAGACAATCGTTCAGTGTTTGTTCATGTTTTTGTTGCTGTTACGTGACGTAGCGGTGTCTGACTAGGGGCGAGACGTGGGCTGATGACGTCATCGTTTCAGAAAATATACGGATTCGCTGTCCACACGAAAACGCAAGGGTGGCGTTTTCAGATTTATCCGCTCTGGGACCCATC